GCACAAGTGTCCTCCAGTGTCTGGATAATTACAAGATTTCTTCCCTACATACATGTGACCACAAGACACATTTCTGCTCCTCACATGGAGCCATCTTCTTTTGTTAACCCTGAAAGCTATATCTTTGCTGGGTGTATGGATATGGTTACCTTTTCTATTTGTAATGCATCTTTTATTTCTTTAAGAATAGCTTTGCAGACAAAACTTGTGCACACAAACCTGCATGTGAGGGATGGAAATGAGAGCCTTCCTGTCTGTCATGTGCCTCTGACAGAGATCTGTGAGGGAATATGGAAAGAGTAACCTGTCCCATTGTTTCCCTTGGGTGCAGCCTTCTTGACCTTCCCTGAATCCTTTGTGTCTGCGGTGGGAGGGTGAGCTATCTATATCACGAGAAACAGCATCACTAGTGCAGATTCTTTCACTTTCTTTGTATCTGCACTCAACAGACGACTCTTACATTTGTCAGGCAGAGGTCTGGCCATCCCCAAACCCACCTTCATTGCCCTTTCACTCATTTCTCTCCCCTCCAGTTCTCTAAATGTTTGCAGATGAACACTAATAGTCTCCTCTGTATGTGGATGACACGCTAATTAATCAAGCACACCATGCTGGCCAATCCAGTAATGGCCAACAGCTTCTAGCACACAGCTAGCTGGCAATCACCAGTTTGTACAACCCTGAAGGGCTGCGAGTTCACGTGTATTTGTGTGTAGCAGTTGTTCCTGGGTGGAAACATTTGTACCAGTTTGTGAATTTGTGTGTGTGTGTGCATATTTAGTGTAACGTAATGTGTTTACGGCCCCCTGTTGAATCCGTCAGACTCTGCTATGAAGCTGCTCATTTTTCGGTTGCATGGTGGAGATATTATGCAGTCTGGGCTCCCTCTCACCTCCGAAGGTTATTGGACTCTTGCCACACATCAAATATGTTCCACTTTTTGGTAAAACTCTCCCTCTCTGTCTCTCCCTCTGTTTTTTTTTCTCTCTCTGGCACACCTCAACTTTCATCACACCTCCCTCTAGCAAACAGAATTTGTTAAAAAAAAATAAACTTGATAAAGAAGTCTTGCACTACACACAATATTCCATGATCTGTAGCCGTTCGTTATTGTTTAGTTTGATCAGTTGTTTGGGAAGAGACTATTAGTATGCACATCCTGTTGAGTACTGGAGCTTGCAGTTGCATGCAATTGCTATCTGTCCAATGGTAAATTTATCTAACAGGACTCTTTGATAATTCTCGCCTTAGTGAATGTTCCACAAACATCCAGAAGACAAGGAGTTGTTTTGAATTTTGTTTATCCAGTTGATTGAATTCTGCAGCGTGGTGGCTCTGTGGGCCAACACACGTGCATATGTGCATAAACACATGTTCACATGCACACAATGACACAAGAGCTCAAACGCAAACTAAAAAGACTTCTCATTAATTTCCTCGTAGGGAAGAGGAAGAGAGGGATGTAGGGTGTGAAGGAGTGGAGAAGGATTGATGGGAAGCAGGGAGGTACAGGCAAGGTGATTAAAAACTCAAGCTACAGATGTTTCTGGAACACTTCAAAGTGGTGTGCCTGCCAGTGCCAGCGCCGGGCATGATGCATTATTGAGATGGTGCCCACCTGGCACCTGGCGCTGACATCACATGCCCGGTCCACCTGGCACCGTGCAGTCACGTGGGTGACACTTTGGGTCACACCTCCCCGCACAAACCCCAGCTCCCAGCGTGATGAAGGGCATTGGGGGAAATGGCACACATGCTCAACACAGACCTCAAAGGCACTAAACTGGGGCATGTGCAGTTTGTAAACTTCAGCTTCATGAATGAAAAGTGAAGGGGAACTGATCATGTGAAGCTTTGCAATGCATTTCCTCTCTTATTTTTCTTGTATATTGACTAAGACATGGCAAGGTGTGAATATTTCTCTACAGGATATATACCTTACATAGAATTTTATTCCCTCACTGGGCTTGTAGCTGTCTGTTTAAGTTTACAACACAGCACAGTTGTGTTATGTTAAAGCAATATTGTGCTTTGTCTTGCGTGCGGGGGGAAGATGAATGGATATTAGATGATGCACTACAACAGTGTAATTTCCCATGCAATAAATTATTGAAATGCAATGACGTTAATTCAGTTAAGTCCGTATTATTAGGAATATTAAGAGAAAAGCCTGGGAATCTTTCTGGAACGGCTTTGAAGTAGCCCACGGTGAGGTGTTGATGCAATCCCTCCTGCTTAATATTTCAGCAGCCCCCTCAACCTTGTATAAAGAATAGTTAGAGGTCACATAGTGTGTTTGTGTGTGCGCATGAATATCCGTGTGTGTGTGTGTTTCTCCTGCATGTGTCCCCTGACACCTGTACTCTCTCAGGGTGTGAGGAACAGACAGAGGCCAGAGCCACAGTCACAGGTCTCAGACCAGTGGGGTGTGAAATGAATCAGAGGGCCAACACACTCTCCCCCTGCTGCACACAGACACACACAGACTCATTCAGTGTGCGGTTGTGTTTGTGTGAAGTGTACATGTGTGTGTGAGACTGAGAACACTGGAAGTGCACACATAAAAAGAGAGACGAGGGGACAGAGACGAGAAATTCTCCTGCACTGTTGTGCAGCTCTTTGCTGAAATAGTAGCACCTCAGTAAATAAAGTCTGTATAAATATTTGAGAACATTGTAATGGTTTCTGGTGAGAGATGGCGTTTGGAGTAATGATGGTTTAGCTTCAACAGTTTACTTCAGTCCCCAAGGCTGGATTACCAACTGGGCAAAGTGGGCAACTCTCCCAGCACTCCACTCCCCCAAGGGCCCTAGAAGTTCCACGTCCACTGCATATCAATTGCTTTTGGCAATTTGGTTAATTTCAAATTTGTTTGGGAATTCGTACCACTAAGGTGCATGGACCCTGTGTTAAAATCTGGCTTTACTGCTCATATTACTGTATTTTATAACATGCTCACATGATGTGTTCTCATAAATAAAGTTGTGTTTAAAGGTGCTGTATGTAACTGTGGACAAAAAATAGTTGAGTGTTGAGTCTCATTCCCAGGTTGTCAAATATCAGTGCTTTGGATTGTCGGACTGATCACCAAACCAAAGCACTGGTATCCGACAACCTGAGAATGAGACTCAACAATCGACTATTGTTCTCCAGAGTCAATTGTTGAGTCTCATTCCCAGGTTGTCAAATTCTGCACTTTTAAATGACCACAAATTAACTCAAGTCAAGTGTTATTCTAGCATAGGAACTGGATTTTGCACCACACTTGATGGGAATTTGGAGGAAACAAGTTGTACAGAGCCCAGTATGTGGAGGGGTCAGTAGGGGTCCAACAGCAAATTTTTGCTCCAGGGACCTCTAACAGGTTAATGCAGCCACGCTTTTCTGACCTGGGGAATCTGGCTTGCAGCATGGCAAAGCAAGGCACGCCACACCAAAGGAAAAAAAACGTGCTGTGTTTATTGTTTTACTTCTTTTGGATATTCATTAAATGGCAGAATGATGCATGTGCAGAATTTGATACTAGAAGGCTGTTTTCACATCCATCTGTGGAGGTGGAAAGTTTAAGACGTGTGTGGTGTGTACAAGATGATTTTGTGAGATTACAAATAGTTTCAAAGACAAATCCTGGTCCGAATAAAAAAACAAACAGACAAAAACACACTTCAACTTGCATTTTGAGACCTCCAGTGTACATAGACTGAGGATGGCTTTTCAGTGAAGTTTCAGTAAATTTTTCATCTGTTTTATAGCTTGCTTGCATTTTTACACTATCCATCCATCCATCCATCCATCCATTTTTATCCGCTTATCTGGGGCTGGGTTGCGGGGGCAGCAGGCCAAGCAAAGCACCCCAGACGTCACTCTTTCCAGCAAGGCCTTCCAGCTCCTCCTGAGGGAAACCAAGGCATTCCCAGGCCAGATGAGATATGTAATCCCTCCAGCGTGTCCTGGGTTTACCCAGGGCCTCCTACCAGTGGGACGTGCAAGGAACATCTCTAACGGGAGGCGCCCAGGAGACATCCTGATCAGATGCCTGAACCACCTCAACTGACCCCCTTTGATGTGAAGGAGCAGCTGCTCTACTCCGAGCTCTTTACCCTGTCTCCAAGGCTGAGCCCAGCCATCCCATGGGGGAAACTCATTTTGGCCGCTTGTATCGGCGATCTCATTCTTTCAGTCACTACCCAGAGCTCATGACCATAGGTGAGGGTTTGGACATAGTGCCCACATCACTGCAGAAGCCACACAGAACTGTTGATCCATCTCATGTTACATCCTACCCTCACTTGATAACAAGACCCCGAGATACCTGTTACCAGTAACTCCAAATCCAGAGCGAGTGATTCACCGATTTCCGGTAGAGAACCATGGCCTCAGATTTGGAGGAGCTGACTCAAAATGTAATTGTAAATCTTTTACTTTTGTTGTATTCTATTTTTGTATCTTATATTTGCCTCAACTTGAAATTAGTGACATCTTTCCAGTAGTTACACTTGAATGAGTAATATTTGAATATTCATAGACTCATTTTTTTTCAGCTGAGGAGTATATCTATTTTTTTTTTAAATTTTAACTAAATAATTGAACTTCTTTGTGTAAAGAATAGTATAGGCTATGTCTTATGTCAGGAGGGGATCTTTAATAAAAGGTTTCAACATCTCAACACTTACTGAATTTGAACAGCAGTGAACAAAAATCAATTTTTATTTTCAAAATGGCCAAATTGATTTTTAAAATGCAAATTGTGCTCTTAAATGTGTAACTGCGTTCTTCAATTTGCTCTAAAAATAATTATGTTAAAGGTAAGTTTATGTCGGTTTAAACACTCCTGATCATAACCTACAACTTTTCTGGAAAAGAAGCAGAAATGCTCCAGCAACAAGAAACAGGGCGGTAGCGTAGAGCGCATCCGGCTCTCTGATTGGCTCAACCCGCTGTCAATCATCCCCCTGACGGCTCCGCAGCACCTCCCACAGACGCACAGCGGCAGCGCAGCTTCCACCGACAATGATATTCGAGGCACTTGCGGCTTGTCTGCAGCGCTAGGAGAAAAGAGGAGAGAAAGAGAGAACCTCACCTCCTCAAACAGCGAGTGAGGTAGAGGAGAAAAAGAGACAGAGCGCGAGAGGAAGACAAGAGGCTGTGGAGTAAAACGGAAAGACAACAGCGGCTTGGACCTCCAGCACAGGAGTGTTTAATTGTCTGCAGCTTTATTGTAAAGTGTCTAATTTCCACACAGATCCGACATGTCATCGTCCGGTAAAGACAACAGCGGTGCCCAACATGCCAATTACGTGGGACCTTACCGTTTGGAGAAGACGCTCGGGAAAGGACAGACAGGTTAGTTGGGACAGCTTGCTCACCGCATCCCCTTTTAATTGCACTATTTATTTTCGGAGCGCTCCGCAGCGAGTTGATATTTGGCCGGCTGGGTGTCTGCAGGTGATAAATAACTAACCGCTTAGTTACAAACACCTGCCAAGGCTTGTGGGGAATATTTTGGAGGGGGTTGTTATTTCTTCGGCGAGCTGACATAATCATTGTTCACACAGCGGGACGAGGGAGAGAGAGGGGGATTTAGGTGATGTTGCTTTACATTGGTTTTGCTGGTTGTGCGTTGGCGTTGGACTGGGTGTGTGTGTGTGTGTATCCAGGAGCCGAGCAGCGTGGACACCATCCAACGCCGACAACGATGACAGTGAGATGGGGCTTTTGAAAATGAACTTTTTGTGCCCCCTTGTTTGTGTGTGTCCTGTGATTGAAGCACAACGCCGGCCGTTAATCCCGATTTGCCTGATACATTGATCTATTCTTAGTTCGCAAGCAGGCAGGCAGCGAGGCAGGGAGGCAGGCGTTTCTCCTATAGGCTCTGACTGCAATACGTGGGTTTACACCGATATGGAGTAGAGGGTCCCACCTTGACAGGTTACACCATGGGCTGCTCACATAGCTGGGAAGTGCAACACTGATCCACATCCACACAGCCCTGGGGATGCAACTGGGCTCACTCAATAAGGAGCACATGCTTTATCTCAGCACAGGCAGCAATGACACTGCAGTTTGTCAAAGTTGCATGGCACATGTACAATAAATGCCACTTTTTTTTAAATATTGTATGCTATTTTAGGTGATGCTTGCATCTTGGTGTGGCTTGTTTGTGTGTGTTTTTCCTGCACAGTAGTTGCAGCATGGGTGCCACAGTGAGAATCCTCTGCGGTTAACTACATGCAGCCAGTGGAGCCATGTGAGAGACAGAGGCAGGCACAGCCCCTGTGTAGGCAGAGATGGCAGGAGTGATGCAGCATGCTCCGTAAGCTCACCACCCTTAAAGAGAGGGAGAGAGAGTCAGAGACTTTTTCCCTCTCCTCTCCTCTCCTCTCCGCCGAGAGATTTTCCTCCCATCTGTTGTCTAAAACGGCTACAATAGGCGTTGCTTCCCCTGCTCAGTCCAGCTGGTCATGCTGAGCAACCCTGTGTGTGTGTGTGTGTGTGTGTGTGTGTGTGCGTGTGTGTGTGTGTGTAAATGTTTGTGTGCTCTCTCTGACAGTATGCTTTCTTGAAATATTCTCCTCTGTCACTTCATTCACCTGGCGAGTCCCCGGTGTTCATTAATGGAGTTGCCCTCCCCATGGTGTCAGTGTGTGCCTTCATAACTCATGCCCCTCTTTGACTGTAGAACAGTTCGGCACATTTTAGTCACAAATCCCCAAACATGTTGCATCAATGGTCGGTGTAATTACAAAGCGAGATATCTGCTGTTATCTGCGGTGTGATGCCTGTAGTATGATCTAACAGTGGACATTGATGTTGCAGGCTGTGTTCCAGCTGGTTCTTTCATAACAAACGCAGCATTAAAACACATTGGCTCGTCTCCCTTTCTCCTGCTACTCATGTTTAATCATTTGTGTTTACAGGGGGATCTCTCGCTCACAGCCAGACTCGGCTCTCTTTTAGATCGCTCTCAGGAGTGTCTAATGGCTGTTTATGGTGGTATAGAGCTGGCACTACGGTCTGCTGGGTACAGACATTTAATGATACAGTGTCTCTGAGATCATCCAGCTCAGGATGTATTTTCCTGCTACCCTCAGATATCCGACACATGGAGGCACAGTAGGTCAAAGTGGCTCGTGGCAGCTTGACCCTCACCTGCAGTGTCGTGGTAGTTTATGAAGTAGGCGACTACTAGGTAGATGGGTAGGATACCGAGGTGGAAGTGGGTATGCTGTCCTATATATTCCAAAGGCTAGGTGGGTGTACTGTTAACGGCCAGAAAAAGACCTGCATACACCCTCTGCAACCCCACTTGCACAAGTCAAACTATTTTGACTTGAAATTTGGCAAATTTCACTTAGAGAGAAATTTCTAATTAAATGATATGTATTCATTTTGAATGCTTTGGGCCTGGTTTTTCAATTACATTTCCATGTTTCAAATGGGCAGCAATAACAGGGGCCCGGCATTATGTGTGTGTTCTGTGTTAGAAAAATCATTTGGTTACTGGCGTCTGTGCGGCCAGTCCATGCCAACCCCATTCAGATTAATGACAGTGCATAATATCCCATTCGCCCATTAACCATTCGTTAATCTGTCAGATCTCTTTCCCAGGCCCCACGGAAAGGGCTGGCCTGGCAACTGTGAGCGCCCAATGGGCCGGGGCTTGATCATGAGTGGCAGCTGGGACCGTCCACTGGGCTAAATCCCCCGTGAGCTTTCCCAGGCTGCGGTTGGCTGGTATTATTAGAGGGGAGAAAGCGGAAGGCCTCTGGTTGATCTGGCTGTTCTGCTTGGAGGAGTGGTGCTGTTCCATGTTCATTAAGTGATTAGGCCTTGTCCTGACACACACACAGACACACACACACATGGCCACCACAGTGGTTCTAGTTTGGCTTCCTGATTTAATCCCCTACACAGCCAAAGTCTCCTTGGCTCTCACTCACGCACTCACGTGGCCAAAGGTAGCGTGGGACTAGCAACTTAGCACCTGAGCATTGCTGCTACATTGTGTAGTGCATACTATAAGCAGTATGATGTATTTTCTTTTTAAACATTTTTTTTCTAGGCAGAATACATTGACAGAATATCTACTCAGTGCACACTAGACTTGTCATGTGTACGATTCCTTCCTTGTCAGGTATGCAGTAGGGCCTGATAGGGGCTATAGATATGGAGTGTCTGCATGGCTGGCTACTGATTGGAGCTAAAGCTACAGAAACATGGAGGCCATTTTCAAACTATTCACAGCTATCACATGTGAATAGTGGAACCTAGTGATGGTGTTGTGGAATGGTTTGTCTTACTGTTTAGGGTATCTGTATATGAATGCATCAACAGCTAAGCAATATCCTCATATCTGTGACATTTCCAATCAACTTCTTCTATCTCACACTGAACCAGCCCCATGTGTTGTCTACAATGCACTATATTTGCCTCACAAGCCTCTAACAGATGTCACAATGCGACGGCAGCTTGACAACCGGGGTAACATTTGTTAAAATTCAGAACTCCCTTTGAAAATCTCCATTGCAGTCGGGTTTGGAGTAACAGCCTTGGTGTATTTCGGAATCTCTAAGCTTTGTTTGACAAAGCCGAAGATTGTGGATTTGTGTTTTTGCCAGTGCGAAGACTTAAGACGGGCTGAATCACTGCTCTGTTCCACTAATGCATCGGAAAACAGTGCCGTGCTTTGCCTTTTTAGTGCGTTCCTGAAGGCTGTTGATTAGCGGAATAGAGGCCTATTGTGTGGAAAAACACTGCCTGTTAATCCAGTGTAAGTCCTTGTTTTTTTTTTTTTTTTTTTTTTTCACGAGACTTGGATATTGACAGGCTAAGAGTTGGAGGTTGATGTGTAGGCTCCTTGATTCTTTGATTGACATTTAAAGCGTGAAATCATCTGTGCTTCGGGGGCTTTCATATTGACTGTTCATCTGACAAAAAGCTGCCTGTGATGTTGCGTCTTGCTCTTTCTTTCTCTGTTAGGCACTCTCTGTTTCTGTCTATCTGCCGGAGAGTTCTTGCTCTGGGTTCACCGGGCTTACAAGGCATTTAAGCCAGCGTCCAGCTGCTTTTGTTGTCTCCGTGTCAGCGAAGGGCTGGCCAGTTTGTTACTCACACTGTTGCACCGTTTGGTCGTATTTGTGTAAGAGACTGAAAGAAAGGCTCTCATTTGTCTTTCTTTTCACATTTATACACGTGCACACATTAACTGGAGTGTTCTGGGAGTCTGGTTTGTTGCAAGGTAACATAAAACCGTTAATTCGACGTTGATTGATAGCTGGCGAGCCGGGCATGGTTGATTCAGATCAATGGGCACTCCCAAAGATTTCCTGTCTGGTGGAAGAGATCCATACTGTTTCACAGCACATGATATTCCTGATGATGACAAGTGAGGAGGGGATGCTCAGTCGATGCTGTCAATGAAAAACCACTTGGCAAATCCACAGAAGCCAAAGGCGACTGTGTGCGTATACTTGTGTGTGTGTGTGTGTGTGTGTGTGTGTGTGTGTGTGTGTGTGTTGCCTGTGAGCGGTGCAGGTGCTCCAACACCTGGTGACCTGTAACCCCATGTGCCATTAAAATAATCTTGATACCCGTGTCGAGCTCAAACGCAGGTGTCTATCTCCCCTGTGTTCGCAAAGATTACCCAGAAAAAGTTGGCAGCTTTGACCTGAAATTGCCGAGTGAGGGGAAATAAATGAAAGGCTGCGATGATAGACCCATGTTTCAGCGGAACTGCTCAGAGATTCAAGGCAGAGAAGCCCTGACCCAGTGGCTGTGCCGTGTTGCTCCCAGCTGGGTAGAACCCTGTGTTAGCAAGCTGGAATCAGAGCTGTAGGAGCAGGAAGCCAAGCCTGCATGGTCTCAGCTGTTAGGCTGTCTGGCTAAAGCCAAAGCCCTGTTCCCTGAGCCCTGAAATGTATCCTAAATGGTGGGAGTGTATGTGTGAGTGTGTGTGCCTCAGCTGATGCATATGTTTACTATTTCTGAGCTTTTATGAATGTATACCCTCTAATGTGTATGTGTGTAAAAGTGCTATTGCGTCATTGTTGCAGATATTTCTTGGCATGGCGAAGAAACTATGCCTTAAGTAAATTGAACCAGGACTTAGCCTGTGGTCTTTTCACTGTCTGTGACTTTGGCTGAGGTTATATAATGATGATGGTCTCTGTCATTTAGTGCTCCTCTCCTCTCATCCGCCTCACTCCGTCTCTCTCTCTCCCACTCTGTCCCTCTTCCCCTGGCCAGTCAAGATTCATACAGGGATTCAGCCATGTGGTAAATCAGACAAGACCTCGGTGGAATTGCATCGATTGGGAGGAATGTATGTAGCCAACGATTTTCAG